GCATACAGTATATTGTGCAAGTCTCACAAATACTGTATGTTATTGACCTAGCGGGAGGGAAGATCACAGCAATGTATGGCGAGGTGATGAAGTGACTCAGTCTGACGCTCCATAACCTCATACTGCAGCTAATCAAGCATGTTTCTGCAACCGCATGACCTGGATCTCACCCTAGATTTAACAGAAACTGATTCTGGTGAATAATGTAAGACAAAAGATTGACATTTTTCCCAGAACAGCTGCCCTGAAGAAGCAAGGACCTTTGACAGCCCAGCGAGTGGTACATTTATCCAGTCAGGTGCAGTAAAGATTAATGTTGACGTTTCATCCGAGGAGAGTAGTTGTCAGTCGTTTATTGCACTCTCTACCTGAAAGTATACCTTTTAAAAGCAAATACATACTGGGTCTCTTCAGAACACAATGAGTTAGTGTGCAAGTAAAGTGAAACATGGGAATTTGTTGGGGGAGGGTCAGATCCAGCAGTGTGATGTGTGTGTGTGTGTGTGTGTGTGTGTCCATTAAGGTGGACAGCAGCAGGTTACTGGAGTCCCAGGACTCCACATGCTAACTGGACACAAGCAGGCGTCTGCTGAACCCCTGGGTGATGCTTAGGTTAGGATGTCTGATGTGCATCAGATAAAGTATAAACTTAATTAACTGTGAACAAAACATTTGTGCTGTATTTAATAGTCCCTGAGAGCTTCTTTGCATTAGCTTATTTAATTATATACTCTCTACTACCTCTAATGAATAATTTACCAGTTGAACACAAATTTTTTGCCGGTAACAGGAATCCAAAACTGGATCAAATGAAAGTGCAGTACATCAGTCAGGCACCAGTGTTTGTCAGTATTCAAATGCATTATCATAACATTGCAATATGATACAGTAAAATAAAACTAGAGAGAGTTAGCGGGAAAAGATGAGGGTTGGTACAGTAACAGAGAATTGAAAAGGAGACCAATGAAAGAATAGAGAGGAAATTAAAGGTTGGGAGTGTGTCTCATCAAGACTTTTACAAGTCCAAGACTGTGTTTGTATGTCCCTGTGCATGTACATTCTGACACTATCTGTATCTGTCAGTCCTGTATTGGTAGGACGATCCTGTCTGTGCGTAGCTCTGTCTCACCATCTGTTCCTGGCTTGACTGCTGATATCTGTTCTTATAATATCCTATTCGCCTCTCTCAGTCTAGGTGGGGTGCACATGTCTTGTATATGGGTTGTTTCCTATTCTTTGTCATCCATCCATCCATCATTACAGCCAGCCATCAATCCTCCACTTGAACAATACATTTTTGTGTCCCGTTCAATAATATGGGGACAGCCAAGTTGCACTCTTACTGATCTGTGACAGTGCCTTCATTCTGGGCAGGAGTACAAACCACAAATAGCCCCTCTGCCTTAGTCATCCTGAGAGCCTTTCAGAGTCACATGAGGCCACTGTGGGTTGAGACAGGATTCCCAAAAAATATCTGTCTATCCTTTGCTGCGAATCTACCAAATAAAGCAATCACCACCTGTTGTTTGTAGTTGGAGAAAGTGAGTTTCCAGGCAGGTTTTGTTCCATCATTAGCTTAGAGATCAACCTTAAAGAAACACAACCTTTTCCAAAAACACACACTTTAGAAAAGCATGATGGATGACAAGGTGTCACAAAGGGCCAAAAAGAAATGTCTTTAACACGAAGGTATAGTGCCTGTAGTTCTCCAACGATCAACTGGCAGTGTCACGTCTTTGTAACCCAATCGGAAGACAAAACTGTAGATATTGGACAATTCTACCAAAACTGATTACTTTTAATGAATTAATGTTTTTTGATTGTGTTTTTACATCCACTGCCAACATCATTAAAAATTCCCACTTTCTACACTGTCATGCCATGTGTGCATGGCAAATACGCCATGGTTTGGTATGGTTTGGTTAGGGTTGAGCAGCTAAACATTTGGTTAAGGTCGTGGTTACAGTTAATAAAAGGTGAGCTCCTGTCTCCTGTATCCTCCTGCAACACTCCTACTTTAAACCTCGCTACATAAACTAAGCACACTACTTCCTGCCTTGGCAGTTGACGTAAATCATGAGGTGTGAAATAGTCCAATATGGATGTAATAACATTGGAAGTTTGGTTGGGGCACCTGTGCTGAGTTGGGTTGGAGTCTACATGTGATAACAGGAATCTCTCATGCATTACAACCTCATGGGCAGTTCCAAAGAACTGGCTTGCAACACATATGATATGAACAGTATCTGAGCGCGTTTTGACAGTACATTAGTAATGACAGAAATGGGGTGTTGTTTGCATCACACACTTGAATCATGTATGTTAATTCTAAACAGTGGCATCCTTATGCCTCACCCCACAAGTCATTTGAGACATCAAAGTGTTCACACTTGAAGAGATTATATTTAGTAGAACAAACTCTTTTTAAAGATGCTTAAGTGTACTGTTATTGTTGTCAGCATTTTACCAAAAAGCTTGGATAGCATCTTTCTCAAATCCATAAACATAAATCAGAATCAAAAGAAAGAAGATCTAGCTTTCTTTTTCTTACATCTGTCTTTCTCCTCTTTACTGTCTCTATGTACAGTGTCTAGAGACCAGTGTTGCTTCAATGAGTTCACTGATTAAAAGGCATAGTGTATGTCTCTTTCTCTTTTGCTTCCTCTTCAAACGCACTCACTACTTGGAGGAATAACAGAATTCTCTCAAAATCTAGACAGCCTGCTCTGCCTCTTTCTCCAATATCTATTATGTTTTCTCACCAGCCCCCTATATCTGCCAGGAACATTTTCAACCCACACTCATGGTACAGTGGTAGGCTATTTCTTGATGCAAGATCATCCAGATTCCAAAATTTTCTCCCCTATCTTTGGCTGTATGTTCCTTGTGCTCACTTAATTGCGAGGCAAAAAGTAAAATCCAGACTTGATGGCAAACAGGGTCAAGTGAGAGGAGAGACAGATCAAGGCGAATGCAGAGAACAATTAGGGAGCTGTCTTTAGCATGGACATGCTGCTGTGACAGCGTTATAAGAGCACAAGTGTGTTACTTGCCACAACCAAGTATAATATACAAACAAAATATACATATACAAAATCTTTGTTCCTCATATTGGGATAGGGATGTACGCAAATATGAATAGATTATTGGCATGTGAACAGATAACATCTCTGAACAGATATGAGCAGCATCCAAATATT